TATTCAGTTTTAAGGCTGATACAGGCCGATACCGATAGGGGGCCGATTATATCGTGCATCCCTATTTCTATCCATTACATTAACACTGTATAGTCTCATTGAGTATTTCTCACCTCCTCAGTGGGCTCATTTCTGGAAACACAGTTTGATTACAGAGTCCTGATTGGTTTGTCTACCTCTCTCTCTGTCCTGCAATCAGATACAAACAACAAACACATCCTGATACCTGAAAGTCTCTGCCTTAGGCAGAAAATTACCTTTAACCTGAATGAAGTATTACACTTTTTCCCATTTTCTGCACGTAAAGGAATGGGAAACCTTTTTATGATCAAGTTTACTACAGTATAATTTATTAATGTTCCCTCTTCTTGTTCTGGTTGGTCAGCAAAATACAAGGTAACGAGATTCTGTGTCCCAGAAAACAAAGTAGAATAAGAAAATGGAGCTTATTGGAATGTTGATGCAAAACTCCAAATAAATCAAAAGTGCCACTGCATGTGTTTAAACTTAACCAAGGGATGTTTCCTCAGAGAGCTGATTGAATCATTCAGCCTTTAATGTTAGACCTTGAAAAGTAAGCTACCAGAACCGATCCCCTTTGCTTATTCTATAATATGTTTATTTCCGCAGGTTAATCTCTTCCCAGTGTGCCTTAAGATGAGAAATAAAAAGCTGTCTCTCTTGCAGACCTGCAGCTCAGTGTAATTTTAATGGATGTATTGTAGGATCGTTAAGCTTGACGGTGTTATCTGTAGTGTTGTAATCCTCCATGAGCAGAGGCACGGTGCTGATTCATTTTTGGTGTTATTCCCAGTCCATGGACATATATATTAACATGTTGAAAAGTTATCTTGTTGCACGACCGTAACTGAGCCAGTTAGTCAGAATGTATTAATGCGTTGAACATCACAGACACTTTAGACACTTGCTTTGTCCTCTTTCCTCTCGCAGCACCGTCCTCAACCGGGAGCTGGTAAACCCCGCCTCCATGAAGCAGGCTCTGATCGCCTCGGCCCGCAGGCTGCCCGGGGTCAACATGTTTGAGCAGGGCCACGGGAAACTGGACTTGATCCGAGCCTACCAGATCCTTAACAGCTACAGACCCCAGGCCAGGTAATAGCTTGGGTTTAGATGAATGAAAATACAGAATATAGTCACAGAAAAGCTGTAGGAGTCTGAAAAATGTTTTTCTATACACACCCAAAGATGATGTAACTCTAAAACAGACTAACTCAGTGTCCTCTCTGGTGAGCTTTATGCTCACTGAGGGTTTACATTGAACCTATTTGATGTTTACAGGTCAAATTTGTTTCAAACAGAAGTAAAATTTGATCTGGGTTTATAGAAAGTAGCAGCAGAAACACTGATCTTACTCTGGAGGTTGAAAAACCCTTTAATTCACATATATATAAATCAGTTACAATGTCTACAACATGAATACCTAAATGTATAATCATCAAACACAAACTTTTCCTCAACGAAAAGAAGAGAAGGTTTCATCTTTCTCCCATCATGTCAAGTAATATTTCATAGCATGATTTCTGCCTTCTCTCAAATCGATATGGTAATGTTTCAAATTGAGCAAAGACACATAAAAGTGTGATAAATAGAGGCTCGGTTGGATTTATTTTTTCAAGGTGTTCTCCTTTTATTCCCAGTCTCTCTCCCAGCTACATCGACCTGACAGAGTGTCCGTACATGTGGCCTTACTGCTCTCAGCCAATCTACTACGGAGGCATGCCCACCATCGTTAACGTGACCATCCTCAACGGCATGGGAGTCACGGGCAAGATCGTCGACAAGGTAGGCAGAAATAAAAGGGAATCACGTTCCTTTTATTAGCCTTTACCTGTGCTTATCTTGTATAAAAGTTTAGTATGTCTTAGTTTATATCTTATTTTATCACATATTAGTTTACATTTTACCTCAAATTAGTTTAGATTATACAATATATTGCTAAAGTATTCACTGAGTTCAAGTTTCTGATCCCTTCATACCCACAAGTACATTGGATCTAACACCTGGGGATGCAGACTGCTTCTACAAACATTTGTGGAACCAGGATTCCTGTGACATAACGGGTCCTGTCTAACCATTGCATCAACTTAGGTTTGGAAAATAGTGTGAAAGGAACTTTAAACGCTGCTGCATCATTACTTGATGTTTCAAACTTTGTTGGATTGAAGGTTGGCCCCTTCCTGTTTCAATTTCCTCACTAGTGCACATATTAATTTCTTTAAAGACATGGGTGAGCAAGTTAGCAGTGGAAAAAATAGGAGTCCTGATGCTAACCTTAAGGGAGATCTTTCTGACACACTGTATTTGGTACCATGGATACACCTCTATAACCGTGGTCTAATTTTCCCATAAATCCACTCCAAAACTTTGTGCAATTGAAGCTGAAGAAGCCAAGATCATTTTAAGTCCTTTGGTTTTAGGTTGGAACATCTCTCAAGTTTAAATGTGCCTTAAGGAAGACAGAATATATTTAGCCAGTTTATCTCATCTTAGTTAAGCTTATTTTTTAGCTTAGCTTTATACTTAGATCAGTGTATATATTGTATGAAAATGCAACCTATCATAGTTCATACCTTGGATACAGCTTGTTTTTTATAGCATAATAAACCTTTAATAGAATGAGTATTGCATTTAATAAACCACTCTTTTGGACTTTTTTGATTAACTTCCTTTTGTATAAGTTGGGCCCTTCTGTGCACCTTGAATCTGTTATGTTTACATAAATCTTTTTAGTATTAGACGACTGCCTTGGATCTGTAAATGTTTTGCATTTTACATAAACATGTTCCCTTTAGGCTGACCCTGTAAATGTTGCTTATTTCTCTTCAGCCCATCTGGCAGCCATATTTGCCTCAGAACGGTGACAACATCGACGTTGCTGTCTCATACTCACCTGTGCTGTGGCCGTGGGCCGGTTATCTAGCCGTGTCCATCTCTGTGGCCAAGAAAGCTGCGTCTTGGGAGGGTATCGCTCAGGGTCATGTGATGGTCACAGTCGCATCGCCTGCAGAGAATGATGTGAGTCGGAACAAAGCACATACGCTTAGTTAGATTTTTAGATTAAGTCCAAATATTGCATGTACTAGCACTAGAACATTTCTCAATCATTTCTGATATATCTTTTTTATCTCATCTGTAGCCCTTTCATATGTGCCACATTTAATCGTGCTCTTTCATATTTATTATGTACATTATATTTGCTATATATTTTAAACTCCAGTAGGGATAATTTAAAGGGATTCAGTCATAGAAATGTAACGGGATCTATCCCATGTGTTCTTGTTGCATTTCTTTTTCACAGTCAGAAGTTGGAGGTGAGCTTACTTCCACTGTCAAACTGCCCATCAAGGTAAAGATAGTGCCTACCCCACCGCGCAGTAAGAGGGTGCTGTGGGATCAGTACCACAATCTGCGCTACCCCCCCGGCTACTTTCCCCGTGACAACCTACGAATGAAAAACGACCCACTGGACTGGTGTGCATCCATTTAAGTTTCCTCCCTTTTGACATTTCGGATGAAAATTTGATTTATTTCTGTAGATAAAACTGGTTAAAGATGTGTCTATATTTTTGTCAATCCAGGAATGGTGACCATGTCCACACAAACTTCAGGGACATGTATCAGCACCTGAGGAGTATGGGCTACTTTGTGGAAGTACTGGGAGCACCTCTCACATGCTTTGACGCCAGCCAGTATGGTATGGACAGAGAAACCCAACGCCTATTCAAACATGGATAAACAGTTTTAGATAATGTTTATTGTCTCAACAAACAAAAACTTAAAATCATCGGATTTAATCTAGCATTTCAAAAACTGAATTTGACTAGCTCATCTGAAACATTTACATCAACTTGTTAGTAAAGGGAAGGGAGATTATGTAAAGTAACTTAGAGTGTACTAAACTTAAAAGAGAAGTCTGTAAAAAAAAAAAAAAAAAAAAAAAACAGGAAGCTTTGTATTATACATATGGGATTTCTTAATAAGTAAATAAGACCTTGTGGAGGCATCTAGCATAAAATAACTTTTATCGTAAATATATAGCAACAAGTTGTGGTGTTTTTAAGCCTGCTCAGCTCTTACTATGGGACCCAAATAATGTTGAGAAAAAAAAGCTCATACAACACAAAAAGCAAAGCCAATGCATCTACATACAAATCCCCAAGTTTCCTTGTATAAATATACCATTCGCTGCCTGTATGGCAGCATGAAATCCTCCTTTCAAGTTGTGTACACAGTTCTAATTAATCTTGAAGGCCCAGCTAAAAGTGAGACCCATTAGGTCTTGCATCAGAAAAGCCTGATGAAAAATTTGCAAAAAAAAAAGTTTAGGTGGCTTTTGTGAAAAATGGTTGATGCTCAAACAGGAGGTTGAAACACTTTCTTAAATCCACTCTGAACTGTTTCTGTTGTCGCTGTCTTCCTCGGTGTCCCTATTATGTATGTAGACATGGCTGGAAGCAGCATTGCCGATACTAACAGACTTGTAAACACAAGAAGAACTTCCCCGATAGCAATACATTCATTAAAACTTTCTTCCATTACTGATCTGTGGTCATTACTAGATTGCAGCCTCTACTTCCTTTTACTACAGCCATGAATGACGGCGTATTAATGAGGACAATGTAGGATGCCTTTTCAGTGCTTGGTTAATTCAAACCGAATGGAAACACTGCAACTTTGATTTTTCCTTGTTTTTTTTCATCAAACTTATTAAAGTTAGCTTAAAATTCATATTTTAGTTTAATGGAAGGATGGCTAGTAAACCTGGTGTTGTCCTCCGCTGCTGTAGTCAGTCTGCTTCTCTGCAAAACCCTCTGATTAATAAAAATATATATTCTTATTTTGTGTATTGTGTCCAGCCTGTTCTGGTGCAACAACTATGCTGCCTTCAAAGTTAATTTAATTTTTCTGTACATTTTTCTCCCATTCTGATGCCATGTTTTACCTTCAGTAAACCATCATGACTAGATCGAATTAAGGGTATAGTGCAGGATTTTTTTCATTTTCGAAAAGACCCGCCCTCTCCACTCTAAAAAAGCCCTGTACCTGCTCCTGAGAGGGAACACCTATTAAACGCGTGTGAGAGCATGCACAAGTTTATTTCTCCTCATGCACGCTTTATTTAGAAGTTTATGTTTGCATCACTCACACAAGCTGACTTTCCAAAAGAAGATTGTCAAGAGAAAATGGGGAATTTTCATTCACTAGAATGATTGACAATTAGGAGGACCACTTATTTTGATGATCCACCCAGAAAAAAACATCCTCCACTATACCTTTAAGGTTTGATGAGATTGTATTATTTCCATTATAAAACAAATGATATGTGCTAATGATTATGAGTGATCCCTAATACATTTATATATATATAAACAAAGAAAATTATACATCCTCTGTCTCATTAAGTTAGCATGCCGGGCTATATTGGCTGAAATACACAGGAAATACTCCAAGCTGTAAGATTAAGAAAAGCAGAGAATATTAAACCACCTTGCACTCTTTGGTTAATGCCTGTAAAACCTGAAACTCATAAAACTTCACCCCCTAAAAAATACCCTTAAGTTTCATGTTTTACATTCTGTTACAGACTACGGTAAAAAAATAAAAAATAAAATAAATCCACCTTATTTTTTGAGGTACAAGTCAAGAAGCCAGAAATCCAGTCCATTCAGTTAAATCTTTGACAACCTCAAAATCTCAGAAGAGAGCAGAGATGGTGATTCTAGCAGAAGTTTTTTTTTCCTTTAAAATGTCTTCTCTCCCCTTTAGGCACACTGTTGATGGTGGACAGCGAAGAGGAGTATTTCCCTGAAGAGATCACCAAGCTTAGGAGAGACATCGACAACGGCCTTTCACTCATCATCTTCAGCGACTGGTACAACACATCAGTAATGAGGAAGGTCAAGTTTTACGACGAAAACACAAGGTAACAATTTTAAAAACAGACAAGTATTTCATTTTTAGCACTAGCCTATAAGTATCTGTCTGTGATTTGGATGTTAGATTGCTTTTTTCTTTTAATTGTATGATACAAGCTTACCTTACTTTTTTCATTTCTAAAAAAAAAATAATAATAATAATGTTTTTTAATGTATTGCCTTGTGATACCATTTCAGGTATCACCACCTCTTTATGACACAAAAAATATTCAGGTTAATATAGAATATTCAGATATTTATCCATCTAAGAAAATGTCCATGGTATGGACAAAAAGAAAGAAATGCAGAGTAAACAGTGGGAAAATATAGAATAAGTGACTCTTAATCTCAAATTATATACACACAAAATATACATACAAAAAAAAAGGCCAGATAAAAGATGGCTAACTGAGATGACTAAAAATATATATATATTTAAATGTTGGTGATCAGTAAAATAAATCTGTTTTTCTTTTTTTTTTTCATATTTTTCCGTTGGGGCTTTATCTTTGGTTAATATGTATTGACATTGTGAAGTTGGTCTTCTGCTTTTTGTCCACTTATGGTTAAATTAGACTAGTTACAGAACCTGATAGAGGTGATATTTTTCCTAAAGTTCCATTTTCACTACGCTTGCTAACAAATTGCACAGTTTTTTCTCCCACTAAAGACAGAAAAGACTGTTTATCTGCAGCTGTAAAAGTTAAACTGTTATTATTTTTGTCCGTTTCTATCGCTAATGCTCTGTTTTCTTATGTAGGCCGTTTGTAATTTACGTATTTTCAGATTTTTATTTAGATAAAACTGCAGTATGTGCTTGTTTTAGTGGATACAGAACAACCTAAAAGGTTTGACAGATGCACTTTATTTTTATCTGTTATGGAAACAAATTGTAGTAATTACACCCTGTAGTCCAACGCTATATATTTTGCAAATGCACTCTGATGGTGTTTATTTACCCCACACATAAATGTGCTGAAATATGACATCAACAGCAGCATAGCTTTATATCCATTTTATCAACAGGTCTGTGAAGTGAACAATGATTCCTGCCGCCCACTTATTCAGCACTTCAGTGATAAACGTTCGATTTCCTCACCAATATGTTCACCTGGAGCTTTATCGTGTAATAATGCTCCCAAGATGATCTGTGTAATGCAGTTCTGTGTCACAGGTTCTCTGTGCTGCGTTATTTATTTGTCCTCTCTCTAATAGATGTCGTACATCACGGATTCTCTCTTTCGGAGCTCCTCCTGCTGATAACCATTACTCAGCTTCTTCATTTCGGTCCTGCCAGAGATTTAAAATGATATACAGCACGCATTTAAATAGAAGCTTCATAGCTTTAAAATATTCCGCCTGGTATTTCTGTTTTAATTTAAAAGCATTCTTTTATTTTTTATTCCATTTAGATCATTTTATTCATAGCTGCATTCAGAGCCAATAAGTCAGTTGTTTTTGTATTTTATCAGTGTAGCGGTCAGGACTTGAATGTCAACAATTTAAATTAGTTTTATTCCTGAAAAAGCAGCAAGATTATATCTAATTTCTTTTTGTTTATTTTTGTTTTTTCATTCCTAAATTTGTAAAGGTAAAATATGTTTCTAATGCAACCTGCAGGCAATGGTGGATGCCAGACACTGGGGGCGCTAATGTACCAGCTCTGAATGACTTGATATCAGTGTGGGGGATGGCTTTCAGCGACGGCCTGTATGAGGGGGATTTCACCATGGCCGATCATGATAGTAAGATTTTATAAAATTCCTGCTCTTGTGCTCTTAGGTTTCATTGATACAGGCAAGAAACAAAGCTTTCTCTCTAACTTTGTTGCAGTGTACTATGCCTCAGGCTGCAGCATTGCCCGTTTCCCAGAAGATGGAATTGTGATTGCCAAGAACCTAAAAGATCAAGGTACCAGGATCTCCTTTAAAGTATTAAACCCAGCTCAGTGTAGCAGGAATCTGGCTGGAAGCCATATACACTCTGGCAGTTCATTTTTAATCTGTCTCAGATAAAAAAAAAAAAACAAATCCAATGTGTGTGTATGTGTGTGTATTTAGGTCTGGAAGTGTTAAAGCAGGAGACGGCGGTGGTGGAGGGAGTTCCCATCCTGGGACTGTACCAAACCCCTTCAGAGGGGGGAGGTCGCATTGCTCTGTACGGAGACTCGAACTGTATCGACGACAGTCACAGACAAAAAGGTTGAACTTCTCATCATCATTCTGTTCTCAGACATTTGAAGCTTCTTATTCATATTGTTTGTATCTGTTGTCTTTCTTCTTCAGACTGTTTCTGGCTACTGGATGCCCTGCTGCAGTATACTTCTTACAGTATGACCCCTCCCAGCCTCAGCCACTCCCACAGTAGAGTGGCGCCTCCATCTGGTGCAGAGCGGCAGCTGCCGCTAAGACTGGAAGGTGAGAAGGAAATATAATAAGGCTTTTTTTGCCTTTCTTGAATCAGTTCAACTTATATAAAATCTGAACACAAGATCAGCAGGTAAAAATAATATTGCATAAAAGGAACAAAGCCTCATCTGTGATGCTGTGTTCTTCAATCTTAGAAAAGCGAATCCTTCAAAACATGATGCAACAGTGAAATATAAAAGCGTCCATTTATCTGAAACACACCAATCAAAACTGTCAAAGTTTCACCTTTGACCGTTTTATTTAAACCTGTTTTTACATTAGATTAAGTATGTTTTACACCTTTTCTTTACCATGCCACTGCCATGTACTTTTCTGGTTTCTTTCCTTATGTTGGTGCGGTTTAATAAAATGTGTTGTAAAAATAAACTTCCTTTGCCATTACATTCTAAATAACCAGAAATCTTTAAAGATCATTTTGGTGAAACTGTTAATTATTATTATTAGCCTCTTTTCTCCAAAATGCTAAAGCTTATTAAATAAATTTATTGAACCAAGAAGTCTTTTTTTGCAGAGTTGTAATTTTCTAGTACATGCAATGTAATCATATTTGAATAATTCAAAACGGTGTTCTTGGATCGGTAAAGTTTCTGATTAACATTTGTTTTGTTGCCATTTTTCATACCTCAAGTTTATGGTTTGATATTCAAACCTGAAAGAAACTGGTTAGACCTGCATGTTTAGTTGATGAGGATTTTATTGTTGTTTAACTTTTGCTTTTTGCAGTCTGGTTGGAATTAACTGTATGGAAAAAAATAAAATAAAAATGTAGTCTAAGAAGGCCATAAACACTTTTGTTTTTCTTGACCTAACTGCAGAATTCCTGATACTCTGCTTATATTTATGAAACTTTTTCCTAGCCTTATTTTGCTCATTGTTTACAGGTTAGTCTGTCAGGAAAAGCACATATTTTATCTCTGTCTACTTTTATTTACTATCATTAAAAATACCTGGAATTTTGTAGGGAACCACCTGTATCGCTATTCCAAGGTACTGGAGGCTCACCTGGGAGACCCGAAACCACGTCCCCTGCCAGCGTGCCCCCATCTGTCCTGGGCAAAACCACAGCCACTCAATGAGACGGCCCCCAGGTAACACCAACATTGATTTAGTTTAAGTTTAAAAAATTTAAGCAAGTTACGGATGAACTATTGCTTATTTTCTGCTCCTTGATGAATTTATCCAAGCTGCATACTTAAAATAGGAAGGTTTCTTATTTAAATAGCATAATTATCCTTTGAAGCTGTAGGTTTGCATAAAGTCCTCTAAAATGTGTTCTTTCAACCGAGTTATTGAACTGAAAGTAGTGGCAAAATTAGCTTTAAAACTCACTTTCTGCTTCGGCCTCCATGTTTTTCCTCTGCCTCAGTAACTTGTGGAAACACCAGAAGCTCCTCTCTGTGGATCTGGACAAAGTGGCTCTCCCTAATATGAAGTCCTACCGGCCCCAGGTTCGACCCCTGTCTCCTGGGGAGAGCGGGGCCTGGGACATACCTGGAGGTAACAGAGCTCTGCTAGTTTGTACTTTCAGTTTCTTGATGTGAAAGTTTAACTGAAGGATTCTCTAAAGTGAAAAGGAATGAAATTCATTTTTACTGTTCAGTATTTATCCCGACATTTTTAAATGTCCTATATGGTCATTAATATATGCTTTTCATATCCTTTACCTGTTTTCCAAGCATTTATGTGTGTTTGTTTGCAGTTATTTGACACAAAGAGGTTGTGAAAAAACCTGAATGAATATGTGCTATGTGATTGAGTGCTGCTTTAGACAGCCATAAAAATACAAATCTAATGTAAAGTAAGATGATGTTGATGCTACTGAATCATGCTGCAGGAGCAGCTTAGGTTTATCACGAGAGGACCTCTGATCTGAAGAGCAAAGGTTTTAGAAGACAGCTCTCTGTTAGAGGGTTGTTTTTAGTCAAACTGCACAGAATGAATAACAGAACTCTGCCATAAATTTACAGAAATTGAGCCAAATGTTGCTTACCTTCGACTGTAAATTTCAAAATCATCTGGGGATGACAGCACACTTTATTTTAAAAGGTCCAATGAAATGCTGAAAGCTGCATGGAGCATTGTATGCCTCAATCTGCAAATAAATTTGGTACATGCCAAATGTACCAATACCTATAGTTTTAGAACCTTTAGTACTTGTTAGTACTATGTACTATGTTAGTACTTGTTTGCCTTCAAAACGAACTAAAATAAATGCTTGAAACACTTATTTATTATAATAAATCAATTAATTTCATAATATAATTGTTGATATCCTAATCTGAGATGATCCTATTAGTAATAAGCCCCTATGTGACATTTGCTCTTCCTCTCTTCATTAGGGATAATGCCGGGTCGCTACAACCAGGAAGTGGGTCAAACCATCCCTGTGTTCGCCTTCCTGGGAGCAATGGTCGTTCTGTCCTTTTTCGTGGTCCAGCTCACTAAAGCCAAGAGTAAACCCAAGCGCAGGAAACCCCGGATCAAACGGCCCACATACCTCCAGCAGCAGACGGCGACGGCGGGGAAAAACCCCACTGTGTGACTGTTGCCGCCAACTTGGCCCAGCTCCAGAACTCGGACGCTAAATGGATAAGTCAGTGGAGTTGAACTGTGTGGGCAGACTCTTGGACTGCTCTTTAAAGCTCGCCGGAGATGAACTGATGCCTGGGGTCTTCTAAAAATGTTTTCTTTTTTTTTTGTGCCTCCTGTCAGTTTGAAGCTGTCGTTGGTGTTTGTGTGTATCTGTGGATCAATGAACAGTATTAGACAGAACCCTGGTCTGGACTCCAGAAGTCCAATTACAGCCCAAGTACAGATTGTGTCAAACATTTTCCCTCCTCTTCTTTGACCAAATGGGTTCTTTCTAACTAAGGTATCCCACTTTTATATTTATTGAAGTTGTTCTTACCCTAAAACAGATGTTTAACGGTTACCTGTAACACTTAACAGTTAACAAACCAACAGGATAAGGAGGGTAATATTCTACCCCAATCCGTTTTCTAAGCCCTGCCCATATCTGTTGACCATCGCTGTTGTTTTTATACTTTATACAGTCCATGCATCTGGTCAGGCCTTCTGTTAAAATCCTCTTTTTTTATTTTGGTCTCCAGTAGCTTTGAAAGTCCTGTTCAGATAACTCCTCAATAAAAAAGCATTACAAAAGGCTTTGTGTTTTTTTTTTTATTGTTCAGCTCATGAGGAAAAGTTAAGGAAGGAAGGGCAGCATCTGTGCCCAAAAGCCTTTTCCCTGCATCTTTAAGATGCTCCTCTGGTCTTAAAATGTCTGATCGGAATAAATAAATCATTACCAGCCCTCTGCAGAACTAGATAAAACGACTGAGGAGAAACTTTAGACACTAATTTATATTTATTCTTTAAAGAGCCTTGAGATGATGCGCTGTATAAATAAATTGAATTATTTCCACTATGTTACAGCAGAGATAAATCTAAAGCATTCTGGACAGATTTTCTATTTATCTAAGGGGCACACCTGAACGTTCCGGTCAATAATAGCCCCATTTACACTACCCTCTGAAAACCGATCCGTGCAGAGTTTGGACTGAGCTTGGATCAGTTAACCATGCCGAGGTTGGTTCTTTACGACCGTTTACACATCAATTTAACACGGTTCCTTGCCTCCTAGTGATGATCTACGGTACTACTGCTCTCTAGTAGGTAAGCTTTAGAGATTGTTTTGTTCCGTCCAACATCGCCTGGATAGTTTCCCCTCCGTCCAAATAAGAACCTCAGTCTTGGCGTCATCCCAGGTTGCACCACGCTCTTTTGAAGCCGTTTTAAAAATTGTAGAGTTGAGAAGATTTAAAAATAGGAGATGACACGGTCTGCTCATGTGCTCCTTGTTATCTGAGAACCGGGCCGCAACTGAACCACACCGAGAACATTAATAGGACAATTCTTAAATGTTGAAAATTAAACAGATATAAAGCTATATCAGTGTGAGCATCTTAATAAATCCAGGAATTAAGCAGTACTCGTCTGCTCTGGTCTGGTCTGTTTTTTCTTATTAAAGTGCCACCAAAGTATACACAGCCCCAATTGGTACCTTTGTTTACCTACATGGCCAATAAGATATTTCAATCTGAAAAACTCACACGAAGAGAAAAGACAATTAGAAGAAATGTATTGATACAATTACTTTGTCTTTGGCGCTCAGACCTCGGTAGGAAACATAGAGCTTAATTTTGATAGATATGCATGAACAGGAGCAAAAATAGGGCTGTTTCCCCCCAGGCCTGAAACTGGTGGTGGAGTGGAGATAGATGAAGTTGGTCAGTCTGTAGACTGCTGGTTAGCGAGACGGTCTGCTGAGCTTTATGGGGAGATCCAGTGGACTGCGTGAGCTGATTCTAGAGCTTCACTCAGGGACCTGGAAGATGGAAGCCCAGCTTGGATAACACAGGTTGAGAGAACCTGTCAATGATCTGCAAGCATAGAGCGACAGTGGAGAGGAAAAACTCCCCGTTGGGAAGAAACCTCTGGCAGAACCAGGCTCAACATGTGTAGTAGAACACTTTAGGTTTGATATTTTTAATATTTGGTAAGGACCAGATGTTTGTTTTTTTAAACCCTAATACAGAACATCCTAAAATTCATGGAGGCTGATTTATTTTCAGGATGACTGTAGATTAAAATAAAAATTTTGATTAGATTCAGAGTCCAACTATTAACTGATTTCAGTTTGCATCTAAACCTTAACGAATAAAAGAAGCTATTAATCACCAAAAAAGGGCAAAGGGGAAAAAGGTCATTTAGGTTCAGCGAGGGTCTATGATGCACTGGTGACGTATCTAATTCCTATCAGGGTCAAAGTGATTTGCTGAGGAATTGCTGTCATAGTTACCTCTTACTGGATATTAACACATTCCTCACTATTCATGTCTTAAGGAAGTAATAAAAAAAAAATCCAGCAGTTCTTCAGAATGAAAGACTTCAGAATGAAAGAGTTTACTATGTTTTCAAAGTGAAATTCCTTTTCACTTTGTCAGTGGAACACATTTTCTGGACTCTGCCGAGGAGAAATAGTTACATTTATTTCCTAGAAGTAAGTTCAGATTGATCAGATGAATCCACTGCAGTCTTGAGGTTGGAATTGATCATATGCTAGATTCAGTGATGCAGGTTGATTTCATCAGAGGTGATGTGCGTGGGTGTGCTCCCGGCTCTCAGCTTTGGCTCTTTATCCCAGTCTAATCACCAGATCGGCCTGTGAATCTGTCACCTGTCTTCTTGGATGGCGGCCCTGCTCCGATGCTAATCTTTGAACCTTGGGAAACTGGGAAAGGACCTCGGAAACGGCTAGGTGCATTAACAAGATTTGGGAAAGCTATTCACATGAGAGGAGGTCACATGAACCCTTTTCCTGCAACATTCCCAGATTTAGGTGACTTTCAGTTTGGCCAGGCAGGTCACCTGGAAGAAACATGGTGAAATGTTTAACATTCTCCACGTGGCTTTCCTGTATTGTCTGCATCTTACACTCCATCAGCATACCTCCACGTTCCTTAGAATTTAATATGATTTTGGTTGAATAAGATCTGAAAAGCTTTGCAAACCGAATAAAAAATTTAAAAATGCTCAAATGAATGAATGCTGCGTCACATTAAAGTTTAATTTAATACAGTGGGAATAACAGTCTAAAACTGTTATGAAACAGATCCTTACAAAACTTGTTCCACCTTTAAGGTGACATATGATGTGCATTATTCAACTGTCAGACATTCTTTTGAGGACAAAAATATAAAACTAAAAATAAACTACCGGTAACAGTCTGGTTGTGTGCTTATCCATGTCCTTAAATGAATACTTTGTTAAATAATCTTCTGCATCTACATCATGTGCTTTTGGTGTGTTTGCCAATGGAAACTATTTATTTGATTAAACCAAGATAGTTCAGCTAGTTTCAGGATTTTCCTGAACTTTTTCTAATTTGCATCCTTATCTAAAACCATTGCTTACATAAATGTTGGAATAGAATCAAACTCTATTTATTGTAAAGACAAAGAATACAAAATAAATAAAAATAAAAATCCTGTTTTCAAGACCGGATCTGACTAGATAGAATCAGAAAAATATTAATTTCCAAGTATTATTTTACACATAATACAGACTTTTTTGTTTGGTATCAAGTTTACATAAATAGATATGGGGAATATATAATTTGGAATAAAATAAACATACATTTTTGTAGGACTGTTATATGAACAGTGATGAATGGTGGGAAATAGTTAACATACACACATGTACTCAGATGTTTGTGGATTTTTTGTTTGTTTTTTTCTCTCCAAAAGGAAAAGTTTCATTGGGGGACCAGGCCTTGGTAGTTAGGCTAGTAGCAGACTAGAAGAAGAGTAAAGCAATGAAAGCAAAATTGTGCTCTACGATATCTCTTCTTTAGAAATAGAAGGGTTGTGTTTAAAGCTAATTAAAGATCATATTTCTCTACCTTAAAGACTTTCCATTATGTAGTTAGAGTGGCTTTGATTCTTCTGAGCCATCTCTGTGCCTCTATAGGCTTATGCTACTGGAGGACATTGTGAGCACTTTTCCTCATTCTGCTTTATTTTACTTCTGCTCTCCAATTCTGCATTAAAAATTAGTTCACCAAATCTTATCTTTGCTTGCTTTTATTTCACTTTTATTTTATTGTTTATATAATGGAAGCCACTTTGGATTGTCCTTGTATCTCTGGAAATTAGAATATTCAAAAATGGTCCAATATTGAAGTCACCTGGTGCCACTCTAACCAGCTGATACACCTGAGATGTTTTTAAAGGTCTCTCACTTTAGTTCTGTATGCTACAGAATCATGGAGGAGACTGCTGACTTGACAGTTGTCCAAAAGACAACCACTGATTATGTGCAGGAGGAGGGCAAAAACAAAAGATCAGTGCTAAAGAGGAACATTAATAGAGAGGTGAAGGGAGGAAAACAATGTGGTAGCAAAACTAATACAAGCAATAGGATAACTGCACCCTGGAGATCACGGTATCCCTGTTTTTAATTGGGCAGCAGACTCACCTGACCTTAATCCCATAGAAAATTTGTTGGGGATTGTGAAGAGGAAGATGTGATATGCCAGACCTAACAATCCAAAAGAGCTGAAGGCCAATTTCAGTGCAATCTGGGCTATCATAAAACCATTATGAAGGCCATTCACATCGAGCCTGGTTCTGCTGGAGGTTTTTTTTTCTATCAAAAGGGAGTTTTTTCTTTCCACTGTTGAATGCATTTATGTCGATGTAAAGGTTTGCTGCAGATTCAACAAAATAAGGCAGGCAAATGTCTACAGTCCCTGCATTATCAACTAGGGGCAGTGGAACCTGCAAAATCAGTGACTAATTAGTTAATGTTATTATCTGGGTTTCTTTCAATTGAAAACTTTTAACCATCTGACTGACTTGTCTCTGTAAAAGGCCTTGAGGTGATACTGTATGCAGAAATATATGCGTAATACATTTTTAAATCATTACAATGAACCCATGCACGCATCAAAATAAAGAACTAACAAAATCTATTAAAGAA